TTGTTTACATCACATGCTGTCATCAAAGCCACACGGAGTGTGAGAGTTACGTTCACTTTGATGAATAAATATATTTTGTCGTGTACCTCACAGTCGCACAGTTTTAGTAGCATATCTATATAATTATGCAAAACAATATGTAAAGCCCCCGGCTGTTCTGATTTTAGCGTTTGATTTAAAATGAGAGAAAAGTCTGGTAATGTGACAGGCTATGCAAATTAGCCCGTGGCAGTGGTGTTATGCAAAGTTATGTTACTTCTAAAAACGACGATTAATTAAAAACTAGACGTAAATTTTAAGACGTTTGCATATATTGTCTTCTGAAAATGTTTATAAAATAAGTTCAGGTGAGTAGTTGTAATATTTTCATTCCAAAGCTGGTAAACAACAACATAGATATTTTGAAATTGCGTCAGTCATGACGCAGTCATCTATTTCTGGACATATTTTTCCTAAATTGAGAGTCATATATGCAAGAATCCTGCATCAGGGGAAACCCTGGTTAGGGTTTGAAAAATTCATAAAAAAATGGAAAATTAATAAAAACAATTTTTTTCTTTTGACTGAACCCTTCCATATGACACAGATTATATGTACTAAGTTTGAGATGAATCCACTGAATAGTTTAAGAGAAATCGCGAGGACAAAGTTTTGGGACAGACATTAGGGTTTGAAAAATTCATACAAAAATTGAAAATTAATAAAAACATTTTTTTATTTTTGACTGCACCCCTTCATATGACACAGATTATATGTAGTAAGTTTGAGATGAATCCCCTGAATAGTGTAAGAGAAATCGCGTGGACAAAGTTTTCGGACGGACGGACGGAACCTTGGTATAACTATATACCCCCGACATTTTGTCGGGGGTAAAAAAATATGTTTGTTGGAACAGTCTGCATCCTTCTTTTACATAAAACTATTTTATACAAATCAAAAATATTTGAGGTGATATGATGTGAAGAAACTGTTCTTGGGATATACTGTACAGAGACTGGTTTTAAGAAATGTTTCTTTTACTTTTACCGAGAAAGTCTGAGGGAAGGCTTTGCATATTAACAAATGGAAATTTGACACAGCCAGCAAAGTTTGTCACTCCAGCCTTATCACATTTGAAGACAAACTTTAAAGAAGTGGGAGACTGATAACATGTCAGTCCTAACCACATTGTGTGGTATATTTACATTCGAGTGTACTGGAAGTGACCTCTGAACTTGACTACGTGTGTGCGCATGCGTGAGCGGAAGCTGAGGGGGAGATGGGAAATTGGAGAGGAAGCAGCATGTTTATGGATGGCTGGGATTTGACATGAACTGTCAGTGGTGTGTTGAGTGAGAGAAGGACTAACAAGGGCCAACAGTGGAAAAGGCCATAAAGGTAAATAACATCAACATGACAACACCCGGCCTCATATTGCTCGACTTGTTCAGGATTCTCTTCAACAAAACAATGTGAATGTCATCCCCTGGCTGGCTCGCTCCCCTGATCTCTCATCAATCGAGCACATGTGGGATGAGATCAACCACGTGTTCCACAGACACTCCAGGAACTTCGAAATGTGCTCCAGCAGATATGGACAGATATCCCACAGGACTTTGTGCGACGCCTGGTCCATTCCATGAGACGAAGATGTGTTGCTTGCATCACAACCAGAGGTGGACACACATGCTATTGATTTGTAAATTGACATTTTGGCATGTTCATGTGTATTTATGAAATCACGCATTTTCTGAAGTCAGTATGGCAAATTAAACCATTTGAACACTTACAGGAGTCTTTTATCTGTTGCAAACCGAAATTGTTTCAGATTAGGTAAAAAACATAACTTTGCATTAAATCTTATTCAATGTCACATGAACCTTTTGTTGTTCAGTATATGAAAAACCTTATTTGTCCAAACACTGTAAACATACTTTGTAACACATTAAAAAGATGAAACTTGGCAAAACTGATCATCAAGGTTGAAATTGAAGTGTCAAATGTTCTTAAAGTCAAACACAACACTAGTCTCTGAGAAAATGGCAGCATCACAAGTCAGTATCTCGTGTGTCCGCCATGTGAATTGATGACTGCCTTGCAAAGTCAATACATGGAATGGATGAGGCGGTTGATGACCACACTCTGAGGAACGCCTGACGCAGTTCAGCTGCAGTTGTCGGTCTTGGTCGGACGTCATTCAGCCATCTTTGAATATCGTCCCACAGGTGCTCAATGGGATTTAAATCAGCAGGCCACTGCATGGTTCTGATGCCATTCTGCTGGAGGGCACGGGCATTATCATATTGAAATTCGTGGTTGCAGCGACGTGCCAAGTGAGGTATGGCATGTGGTCTCAAGACTTGATCATGTACGGAGATGCTGTGACACCATTGCCTCTCCCTGGTCCAATGTTCTGGAAGACCAATTCTACCCCACACCATGATGCTTGGACCATCCCACGAGTCAAGCATCCGAATAACATTCCCCACAGCATTGCCAGACTCTCTCCCCCTGCCATCTGCTATTGAGATACAGTAACGGTTCTCGTCTGAGAAGAGGACTCTTCTCCACTGCTGATGGCGACAATGCTGGTGCTGTGTTGCCCACTCAAGAACGGTCCCGGTGATGACGTGATGTCAGAATGGGTTCTCGGTGTGACCCGTGACAGTGGAGGTGTCAGCTTGTCAATCGTCGACGCACAGTGTCTGCACTAATGTGTTACTGGTGTGTCCCCATGGTCTGTCGAGCAGTTTCCTCAGTAGTAACAAAGCGATCTTGAAGATGCTGTCGCACAATCTGACGATCCTGATGTCGGGTGGTGACCCTTGGTCTTCCACTATGTGGTCGGTCATCTGTAGTGTTGGTCTGGTACCGTTGCTGGAGCCTGTATATGGTCCCCATGTCTCCTAAAACCTTGCTTTCCATATCATTGCAGGTTGGAGGGTGGATGATCTCACAGGCAACCTGGACAAAGAAATTACACAGTGGCTCCAGCAATGTTTTGCTTACCGTTGTCATGCGAGGATGTACCTGAATTTCTGTGTTCTTACAGGATGTGTTCCCGTACCAGCAACACCTCAGATGATACGTCATTATGCTGCTTATTTAGGATGCACCCATGCTAATAGTTCAATTCCCCAGTATTTGAACATAACTCGCATATTGCATCAGATGTTTGGGTTCACTAACCCCTCGACAGCTAATTTTCTCTTGACTTCAATGAAGGGCATCAAGAGGACCAAAGGATCAGCCCCTAACTACAAATTGCCTTTCACTCCAAACATGCTTCTGCAAGTTCAATGAACTGTTTCCCAAACCAATCCGGTTGATGTGCGTTTTCTTGCGGCTATGCTTGTATGCTTCTTTGGACTACTAAGAATCAGCAATGTTACTGCGGGATCTGTGTCTGTGTCTGCAAAGTATGCCAAGTCAGTGTGCCGATCAGATGTGAGGTTCACTAAAATGGGGGGTGGTTCTGTCTGTGCGATCCTCGAAAACTATACAGTTCAACAACAGATGCCATCATGTGACACTTCCCATGTATCCAGGGCATCCCTTGTGTCCAACCACGGCTCTTGTACGTTTCTTTCTGGTTGCCGGATCAGTGCCCCCTACAGTTCCAATTTTCACTGTGTCGGCAGAGGAACAATTGACTACGTTCTCAGCGAACAGTTTCCACTCACGTCTGCGACATGCCTTAACCACAAGGACTCTCTGTGTCCGATTATAGTGCTCATAGCCTCCGCCCGAACCGGAGTTGTTAAAGGCAGTTTTCATTGGACTATGCATAGACTCATTAGTCCAGCCAAAATATAACTCAGAAATTCCAGTCTAGTTCAGCAAGGGGTGGAAACAAGACATTCAGTCAGTGAACTTACTAGCCTCAAAAATCATATGTACTAAATCTAGTCAAATTCCAAACATTAATGCCGCATTATCTTGAACACAAGTGACAAAGTGACCTTAACCTTCACCCAATTACATGTGAGAACATTGTTTTTCACAAACTATAGAAGCAGTAAGAACAATGGGGGGTTTGTCACACAGCCCTGAAAATGCTCCCATGTAGGTCTTTTAGTGTTTGTTTAGTGTCAAGTGTAGTGGGTTTTTTAAATCAATTTTACCATTTTATAAAATACCCAGGATTCAATCACCTACAAAGCCCAGTTTGGAGCCTGATTTGAATGTTTATAAAAAGATGTCCAATTGGATAAACCCTTATTGTATCATTCTATTTCTACAACTCTTACCTTCAAACAAATTTATTCATATGGTAATCTTTTACCTAGATAATGCTCTGTCCTTGTTACAACAGGTAATGGCCACAGAGACCCCAACATAAATTATGCTAAATGAGGGTTATAACATACCTCCATAGATGAAGGTAATAAATCAACTCTTTGCACTAAGTCAAGAGACCTGGATGTTAGTAATGACTGTAAAAGTCCACTTTCCACCCTTGCCGAACTAGGCTGGAATTATGGAATTATATTTTAGCTGGACTAACGAGTCTATGCACAGTCCAATCAAATTCAGGTAACGAAATCAACATCTGGTTCATAGACTGCCATGGAGACTTAGGTCGATTGCAGGATTTGCAAAGCATGTGTACCAAACAACTCAGCGTCAACAGATATTTTCCAAATCTTTTCATGTTTTCAATGAAAGTGCTCACATGATTTGATGCACTTCACGAAGTAAGACCCGTTTTATCATAATATAGATTTTGATTATCCATCAGATCATCTTGACTGGGCGCCACCACTTTGTTTGAAGCAAATGTAAGTGTAAGTAATCTGATTGGTCAGTAGGAGAGACATAGAAGGGACGAACTCATATTAGCCACTAGCAGCGCTACGATTGAGCCCAGAAATTCCAGCCTAGTTCTGCAAGGGTCGAAACTGGACTTTTACAGTCAGTTAATTCCCTTGCCTTGGGAAGATGGCAACATCCAGAACATGATATAGTTGTATAACCCCGGTCATGATCAAAACTATGCAAAGATGAAAGGAAATCATTACCTCATTTGCTTTCAAAATTGACAGGTTCCTGAGACAGCCAAGTGCTGCAGCCAGCATGTGTGCAGCAAGGGGCTGTGTGCTGTAGGATGTTGCCTTCATCACCTTGTGCAGAGCTTCGAGGATACCATACCTCACAAACAGTACCTGCTGGTCGCCTGATCAATCAAATAGGTTATCTTATGGATTAACCCCACCTAGGACCAACCTGACAAGTATAAAGCAACAATTCTACCATGACATTGAAAGATGATCTAGTTTGACTGGTTAATTTCACTAAAGTTAAAGCGGTTAATGAGCAAAATACACTTCTGATTTTTGAAATAATTAGGAATAATTTGCACACAATGACCCCTGCATAATGTAAAAAAACATATGTTGCCTGATCTACTAGGACTATCAATATATTTTTCAATCGGTGACAATTAGCGCCATTAATAATTGCAAAATATATACAAATAATTGCAAGTGACAATGTAATCAATCCCTCTCACATAACAACAATAATGATCCCACATCCACTGGTTGGTGATAACTTTCAGGTATCCTGCAGAATGTTGATAAAAATACAGCCCAAATTACCAGTGGCACTCTTACTGTCACTGTCACATCAGGTATGTTCAATGTTTCTCTGAGTATCCAGGTTGGAATGTCTGGTTTATTTCAAATTGATAATAGTATTTTGGTTATCAACAACTACTTTCACAACTGAAGTTCGAACTTCGCGATGTAGGGCATAGTGAGTGAGTGAGTTTGGTTTAACGCCACTTTTTTAACAGTATTCCAGTTATTTCACGGTGTGTCAGCTTAATGTGGGAGGAAAGCCTGAAGTGATGCAGGTCTCAGACGTTTACCACTTCGATGAAACCCACGAGTACGGGTATGGTGCTAACAAACCAAGAAACATAATCGGGGCGAACAAAGGGACGCAAATCTGGACAGCGATTTGCGGTGCCTTAGACGACTGGGCTGAACGTGCCCCCGATAGAGGTCATAGTTGATTCTATTTGAGTGTAGGGTGTTGGATTGTTATTCATCTCGCCACGCAAAACAAGATCCTGGATCAATCAATTTATCATTTGACTGTTATGTTAATTCCTTGTTATTTTGTACTACAAGTACATATGAAGTCAACAATAGAGACCAAAAGACATAAAAATTAATTTTGAAGTGCTTTATTGCTGATTAAACACCGCCAATGTTACATTTAGCAGTGTTTAATCAACGATGAATCACCAAAACAGATTATCTCAGGATTATCTCCTAAATAAAATAGAACAACACTATTTGGAACATTAGTGATGAGATTTTGTTTAAATGTGCCAGAGACGATACTGATATTCTGCAAGATCGGTCTATGATGCTCCTACATACTGTGCTCATATCTAGCAGAGACTGTCCACAATACTCCAACATACCATGCTCATACCTAGCAGAGACTGTCCACAATACTCCAACATGTCATGCTCATACCTAGCAGGGACTGTCCAAAATACTAGTACATATCGGGCTCATACCTAGCAGAGACTGTCCACAATACTCCAACATATCATCGTGCTCATACCTAGTAGAGACTGTCCACAATACTCCAACATATCGGGCTCATACCTAGTAGAGACTGTCCACAATACTCCAACATATCGGGCTCATACCTAGCAGGGACTGTCCACAATACTCCCACATATCATGCTCATACCTAGCAGGGACTGTCCAAAATACTCCAACATATCGGGCTCATACCTACCAGAGACTGTCCACAATACTCAACATATCTTGCTCATACCTAGTAGAGACTGTCCACAATACTCCAACATATCATGCTCATACCTAGCAGAGACTGTCCACAATACTCCAACATACTGTGCTCATACCTAACAGAGACTGTCCACAATACTCCCACATACTGTGCTCATACCTAGCAGAGACTGTCCACAACACTCAAACATACTGTTCTCATACCTAGCGTGGACTGTCCACAATACTCCCACATATCATGCTCATACCTAGCAGAGACTGTCCACAATACTCCCACATATCATGCTCATACCTAGCAGAGATTGTCCACAACACTCAAACATACTGTTCTCATACCTAGCGTGGACTGTCCACAATACTCCCACATATCATGCTCATACCTAGCAGAGACTGTCCACAATACTCCCACATATCATGCTCATACCTAGCAGGGACTGTCCACAATACTCCAACATGTCATGCTCATACCTAGCAGGGACTGTCCACAATACTCCAACATATCATGCTCATACCTAGCAGAGATTGTCCACAACACTCAAACATACTGTTCTCATACCTAGCGTGGACTGTCCACAATACTCCAACATATCATGCTCATACCTAGCAGAGACTGTCCACAATACTCCCACATACTGTGCTCATACCTACCAGAGACTGTCCACAACACTCAAACATACTGTTCTCATACCTAGCGTGGACTGTCCACAATACTCCAACATATCATGCTCATACCTAGCAGAGACTGTCCACAATACTCCAACATACTGTGCTCATACCTAGCAGAGATTGTCCACAACACTCAAACATACTGTTCTCATACCTAGCGTGGACTGTCCACAATACTCCCACATATCATGCTCATACCTAGCGTGGACTGTCCACAATACTCCCACATATCATGCTCATACCTAGCAGAGACTGTCCACAATACTCCCACATATCATGCTCATACCTAGCAGAGACTGTCCACAATACTCCAAAATACTGTGCTCATACCTAGCAGAGACTGTCCACAATAGTCCCACATATCATGCTCATACCTAGCAGAGACTGTTTATGATGCTCAAACTTCAGTTGGCAGCATTGATGAGAACAAGTGAATGAAGTTTCAGCTTCTTTGGCACAGCTGTTTCAGAGTTGTTTACAGTACAAGGAAATGCATTTTGAGAGAATGTACGAGCATAGTTAAAGTGCAATGGTCGAAATTAGAACAATATGTAAAACATTGTGTTGAGATCCACTACTAACTACATTTAGCAAATATCATTATGTTTTGAATGAAGGCTGAGTAAGGAGCATAATATAAGAAGTATCATCTTTCAGTATGGTGGATGTTGGTTGGTTGGTTGGTTTGTTGTTGTTTAACACCGCACTCAGCAATATTCCAGCTATATGACGGTGGTCTGTAAATAATAGAGTGCAAAGGTCAATGAAGCTCCAATACCAAATGAAACAAATTTCAGTCCATTTGAAAAACAAAAGAATGGTTCCTGCAGAAGATCAGATACAAGCCTCGTGAACAGATTCAGGTGTCATCAGAGGTTGGAAGTAACAGTTTGTGCTTCATTGGTCCAGTGCTTTCTAAGGAGATGATGTTTACAATGTGAGGAAATGTATTTTCAAAGAAATAAAAAGCATGGTCAAAGTGCTAATTTAAATGAAGGTCATAATTAAAAATGGTGAACAATGAAACATGTGTTAAGCCCTGCTACCAACTACACATATACCAAATTTCATTACACTTTTAAAGAAAATGGCTGAGTAAAAGTGAGTCAAAAAGTTAAATGAGAGTCAAATTTGAAATATCGCAAAAATGGAAGATATATGTAGACCCCCAATACTGGATAAACTACACATGCACCAAACTTAAAGACTTTTTGTACGAGTGAGGCCACAAATAGGTTTTTCAAATGTAACTGCCATATTGAAAATATTCAGTGGCTTCTCAGAAGATTTTAATTGACGACTGACTGCTGACACGAAACAGGCCATGACATTATCTCACTTGATTTTCAGTGAGAGGTGAGGTAAAAATGAAGTTGAAACTAAAGTAACTTGGGAAAGTGAAAGCTTAAAAGACTTTACATGGTATTTTTATTCAAATACACACATGTAACATATGTTATTCAAAAATAGCTGTGGAATGGGCAAAAACAGAGACACAATTCTTTTCCTTTAATTAATAAACAAGTGAGGGAGTTAGTTTGGTTTGAACATTATTCAGTTATATATCATGGTATGTCAGCTAGTTGTGATGCAGATCTGAGATGTTTACAACTTTGGTACAATCCACAAGAAAGGGTATGTGCTGACAAGGAACCAAAATTGAGGCAGATCTTTAATTCAAACCCACATAATCAATGGTTTCTTAAACGCATAAGGGATCACTTAATCCTTTTCATGACCTGTGTAGAACTCTAAATATCTGACCCAGAGATAATGACTCTGTGACACTCACCATCAGAGGCCAAATTACGTACAGCAAAGCAGGCTTGGCACTTGATCTGAAAATGAAGCAGATCAACATAAAAATTGGTTCTATTTCATTAACTATAGCTAAATGGAAATCAAGTTCCATCAATATCTTTCTACCATGCAGAAGAGAATTTGAACTCAAATCAAGTATAGATTTAAAATATCATTCATAAATTGAGTGTAGCTTAGATTTGATTGAACTAAATTAGAGTATTGTTACACAGTGCAGTTCCAAAGGGCTCAAGGCTAATGGGTACAAAAAAGATGAGACTCGTAAGATCCGGGGTAGAATAGATCTTCAACAACCCATGCTTGCCGTAAAAGGTGACTATGCTTGTCGTAAGAGGCAACTAACAGGATTGAGTAGTCAGGATCGCGGACTTGGTTGATGCATGTCATTGTATCCCAATTGCGTGGATCGATGCTCATGATATCAATCACTGGATTGTCTGGTCCAGCCTCGATTATTTACACACCGCTGTCATATAGCTTCAATGTTGCTGAATGCGGCGTCAAACAACAAACAAACAAAACAAAGATGAAGATGGCTCTCCTGCCACTGGCTGACAAGCTAGTCATAGGTATACAAGTGTATGAACAGTAAATCTTGAAATTAACGCATTAGTCGTGTTAATACTGAGTCACATTTTAGGCTAGGGGTCAGCAGTCGCATTAATTTGGAGGTGCATACCCTTGTTCTTCCATCGGGTAATATCTCATAAAGATATCTGTACAGATAATTGACTGTAAGAAGGGATTTTATTTATTACTTTGGTATTGTTGAGTTTATAAAGGCAATAGCAATGGTTATGTCATACCATTGAATGTTATTTATTACATGCACTATACCATACGATAATTTTCTATGAAAACCTTTGTCCATTATTAATATTAATTTTAACAAGCTAACCTGTGCAATGCATATGTATACTGTTAGTTTTCAGGTTAGAATGCGCTCTTGCGATCATCCGTGGTCGCATTGTCACTGGTACGATGACATTCATGCCCTTGTAGAGGACACCATCTTGGACTGTCAGTTTGTCACGATACGCCCAATACTCGCATATCCCTATTGGCACTTCGTCCCTTGTGTCAGGCCATCCAAACATCACTATTGTCATGAGAGTCTGTAGAGCTGGATCTTGAATTTGAGCATGTGTGCTGCTTGAAAGTCTCATGTAGTCTACTTGATTGATTTCAGCTATCTCGTTGAACAACTCTTTCTCTTGAGTGATCGAGAGGTACTACTTCTGTAAGCGTAAGAGCATCCTCTGGAGTCTCTTCGCAGCTTTGTGAAGCGGCTTGAGAAAGATCGGAACTAGGGGTTTGTGATCCGATTGAACGTTGATGACATCCTTGCCTTGAATGTACTGGTTCTTACACGGGCAAACACAATCGCGAGACATTCCTTCTCGATTTGTGCGTAGCGACGTTCTGTCTGTGAAAGAGCTTTAGAGGCAAAAGCAACTGGCTGACCTTGCTGGAGCAAAGTAGCACCCAAACCTGATTCAGATGCATCACACTGAATGGTTACCTCATCATTCACATCATAGTACTTGAGCACTGGAGCTGTACTTATGAAAGACTTGATTGTGGAGAAGGCTTCTTCTTGTTGACTCTCCCACATGAATTCACATGACTTCTTGGTCACTCGTCTGAGTGGTTCACACACATCCGAGAGTCTAGGCATGAACTTTGACAAGTAGTTGATGCATCCAAGCAGTAGTATAGGTAATGGGGGTTCTGGACCACTTCCACTGGAGCCGGATTCATATACCTATACTACCACTACAGGGGGAATTTTTTATGCCAAAATGACTATGCGATTCAACGATAGTCATGGGTTAAGTTAAATTGGCTCTAGCTCACCAATACCTGAAGTCTATGATATAAATTTTTATAGGTAATGGGGGTTCTGGACCACTTCCATTGGAGCCAGATTCATATACCTATACTGCTACTACAGATGGAATTTTTTATGCCAAAATGATTATGCGATTCAATGATAGTCATGAGTTTAAGTTAAATTGGCTCTAGCTCACCAATACCTGGGGCCAATCATTGCTTTAGATGAGTCTAAATGGTAATAAAAATATTCTTCATCATTTTTATCGATAAAGCGATATTCAACATTTTTATTAAGTTCTTCGTTCATTTTACTAGGAGACCAGACTATAAAACTACACTCTTTTTGTAAATTGATAAGAAACAATTGATAACCGTATTTGGTTGGTTTGGCATCACTGATATAATAAAAACCTTGTGGTAATTCTTTCCATTTAATAGTTTTTTCCATTATTATATATATTTATGTAAGCATTTGTCTAAATGTGATCAAACGATAGCAAGCAATCTATTTTTAATCTCCAACCAGTTCTTTGGTTTTGGCACGGAATAATTGACGCGCTTGTTGCCTCCCCTGTTCTATGAACTTTTTTTTCTCGTCTTCGCTAATACCACTGGTCTTATGAGATTTTGATCGAATCTCCTGCTTCATTTCATTGTATCCGAATAATATCGTGTTTTAATGCTTTCTTTTGCAACCTACGAGAAATGATTTTTATCGCTATTCCTGCCAGTCCCGAGACTCCAGCTGTTATTTCCATGCCGAGCACGATAGGCGCGGCGATTATAGTTGATAGTAAACCGATACCCGCTACACCGAGTCCCATGCCAGATACTACAAGAGCGGTGTCAACTCCGTCCAGAGCATTCACGGCTCTGCGATACTTTTTATACAATCCAAGTCTCAACTCCCTCTCCTTCTCTATTCGATGTTTTATGTCGCTTATTTGATGTAATCGAAATCCATCAACAGTTTCCATCTTTTCAAATGCTTCATCGAGGGCTGGATATAAACTCATAGTGTATATTACGATCATATAATAGTCTTTAATTGGTCTTGCTTAAATGTTTGAGACTATACATCAATCTTATCAAATGTATATTATACGGCAAGAATATCTTAGTAAGAGAAATGCTGTCACTTTTAATAATTTGGACCCCCTCGAGGGTTGCAACGGGTGATGCTCCGATATGAATAATACTGCAACCGCGACGTTGGTGTTTCTTTAGCCATTTAATCGATAGACCTGGTAATATTTCGAAGGCATTTTCCGGTGCATCTCCGAACAAGACTTCAATAATAAGCGTAGAAAGATTAGGTATTGCACTCAGGTTAACTTTAATATCTTCGAATTCAGTAACCAAATTTAAAGTAACATTTTTTAAGGCCGGACGACTATATAACATATGACCTGGGTTTTCTGGCAGGGGGGTAACTAACACACTTTTTCGTTTTGATGGGATATAAGCCGCGAGTACGATGCCACTATTTATTATCTTAGTTAAATTATGTCCCTTACCCATCATCACATAAGGTGGGGTAATGACGATATTCAGTAGCCACTCGATGTTTGCTTCAACCATAGTCCATTTATTATCGTCGTTGCGAGTAATATTGTACGAAGTGTTTTTAAGGAGTCTACTAACATCGACATCGCTTAAATCTCCTAGATTACCCGTGAATGTGACTTCTTTCCGCTTGTATACATTATCGTGTAAGTGTAAAGCGTATAACTTACCATCGGTGCCAGGTTTACCGAATCCTTCCGTGTTTCCGAGATCGGAAAGCGCAATTGTATTACATTGTCTTACTGTTCCAGGGCCTGATGCATCAACCATTATTTTTAATATGGAGTGTTACACTTAAGTATCCTATATGTACAGGTTGATGTTTTACATCTAATACAGAAATTTTGAGGTCTGAAATAATACCCCGCTTTAATTTTTTATATTGTAATGTTGAGAAAGATTCCGTTCTACCGCTATTATATTTTTCATTTTTCACTGGAACACTTCTTAGCAGAGTTGAAGGACTTTCTTGTTGAATATTATCTGTCGTACTGATTTGATCAAGATGGATGCACAACTCTTTATAGGGAACTAAATCGGGTAAATAGAGTCCCTGATCTGATGTCTTGATTACTGTTATTTCTCCTCCCCATCCAAGTGTGTATGCTAAGTTCATGTAAAGCTTTACATCCTTTGTTCCAGCGTTTAAAATCAGTAACCCATTTGACTCATTTTGTGTTAGACTAATTCCATTAGGCTTAAAAAATTCATCATTGAGTGAGCATACGCTGTAATACCCATCAGGTATAATGTATTTTTTACCATTTATTTCTGTCTCATTATTATAACCCCTCGTAGCACTTATATTGGTCCACAGTGGGTAATACGTTACATCGCATAGAGCGACTTCGAGTTGTCCATCCGAGTTATCGATAGTACGAAGCAGTTGAATAGACTGACCATTTGTTATTCCCAGGAGTGTAACATACATATCAAATATACAATGATACTATATCATAACTTAAATATGGAATCAACCATTATATAATATGGAGTGTTACACTTAAGTATCCTACATGTACTGGTTGGTGTTTTACATCTAATACAGAAATTTTAAGGTCTGAAATAATACCCCGCTTCAATTTTTTATATTGTAATAATGAGAAAGATTCCGTTCTACCGCTATTATATTTTTCATTTTTCACTGGAACACTTCTGAGAAGAGTTGAAGGACTTTCTTGTTGAATATTATCCGTCGTGCTTATTTGATCAAGATGAATGAACAACTCTTTATAGGGAACTAAATCGGGTAATGTATTAGGTACAAACATTGTTACGTCGGGTGGTAATGTTGTTTTTCTTCTTCCCAATCCAAGTGTGTATGCTAAGTTCTCACCAATAATTATTTTTTCGTTTCCATTGATGATTTTCATTGTCCAATTCGACTCATTTTGTGTGATTCTAAATTTAATAGTATTTAAAAATTCTATATCAGCCTTAAAATAATCATTGAGTGAGCTTATGCTGTAATACCCATCAGGTATAGTAAAAATTCTATTAATTCTATTTTGGTCATCTATTATAAATATCTCATTATTTTTTCTCGCAGCACTTATATTGGTCCACAGTGGGTAATACTTTACATCGCATAGGGCGACTTCGAGTTGTCCATCCG